TTCCTTTTGATTTTACATAAAATAAAAATTATCAATAAAGAAATAATTACGTCTCTTTTCATATAATGCTTGAGTGCGCTGTGAAAAATCCAATGAAAATCTTTTTATATTACACATATTATCTGCATTTTTCCCGTTAAACTGCAAAACTTGTGCATTTCACTCGTTATTATGAAAAAGTTTTCTTAAGTATGATATAGCATTTGCGATCAACAAGATGTTGGTTCTGAATACGACCCTGTCAAATTCTTGGGATTTTCAATATCACGTGCGTAGGGCATGTCAATGTTTACATCTACTCTATCTTGGATTTGAATTTGCTTTAGTTAGGGTTAAATAAGCGCCATATCACTTCAAATAACTGTTGCAAATTTCAACCAAATCGATGTAAGGATATTTGTGATATTTTAAAAATACCAATTTTTTTAAACTTCAACACCCTGTATCTCACAAACGAAGCAACTCCGAACATACGTTCTTAAGAACGTTTTTTCTTGAAACGACCTAACGAGTCACCCTCTGAGGTTTCGTATCGTGGTTATGAAACACCCTGTATAAATCTATTACAAAACAATTTCGAACTTTATGTTTGCTCACTACGTTAACATATTTTATTATACGGACAAAGTGATATATTCGTTATGGAGCGAATAAATTGCACTCCACTCGGTGACCTTCGCTCAATTAAAAAAACAATTATCAGAGATATTAATGTTGGCGACAACTTAACATGTCGCAGACATGTTCACTTGAAATATAGGTCACTTTTTGACGCCAGATCTAACAAAGTACATTACTACACATTTAACATTTTTCGAAGAACATATTAATAGCTTTATGGAGAGTCTGCAGATACACACATCAATTCAATATACTTCAGATGCGAAAATGGACAGCGGTATCACAACATCGATAGCTCGTTTGTTTTCGATTCATCAGCACCATCATAGTTGATTTCGAGGTTGATTTGATCAACTTCTTCATATTCTTGCAAATTTCTCAAATCTTTGACACTGAAGGAAAAATTGGTTCAACTAGTTACTAGTCTCAACTACAGAGATTGCTTTTGGGAGACTTGTCTCCAGTCATTGATCTTTTTCCAAATATTTTCTTTTCACAACGAAATAGTGAAATAACTTGGACATTGTTAAGAAAAATTCTACATGAAGTTCAAACAGTTGTTTTACTGTTACAAATAAATTTTTTGGCATTTGTCTTAACAGTTGCACAAACTATGAGCGCAGCTTTTAAAACGAATGTTAATTTTCATTTTGACTTTGATCTTATTTTTAGATCTGAGCTTTAACCACTTAGCTTTTCGTTATTTGAAAAAAGATAAATATTCATCTTGTAAATGTGATAATGTCATTACTCATTCTTTATTCTTTTTTTTATTCTTATTATATCAAAAGTTTTGTTTCGTTATGTTCACTGATATTCCAGATATAGACAATATAGGTACCAAATTATTTATGATAGGTTANCTATCTTGGATTTGAATTTGCTTTAGTTAGTTATGAAAATGGTGTAATGATCGAAACTAGTCAACAAATATAGAACTATCGTGGAAAATAGACAAAAGTGTGTTTTTATAGTGTATCCTCAGTATTTTTATTTATTTATTTACCAATATAGGGGTTACATGTAGAGTGATAAATTCAATTTTATAGTGTATCCTCAGTATTTTTATTTATTTATTTACCAATATAGGGGTTACATGTAGAGTGACAAATTCAATGGAGAACCCACAGAACCCAATTCATGATTTTAGTCAAGGTAGGCTTTGAAAAAGGAATAGGAAAAAAATTGTACAATCAAAGGATAACACTAAATATTATAAGAGTGACAGAGACTACAGAAATGATCACAACTTATCCATGGAGATTTTTTTCATCTTGTATTTCAAACAGTCCAAAGAGATTTCAAAATATTGAATATTGTTGCAAAATTCGTTGAAGGTTTTGAGGATTCTATAAAGTGGTGAATTTTGATCCTTGTACAAGAATTTTGTATGCCTCAACGTTCTACCCTGAACATTGAACTCGATTTTGCAATAAAGCTCTCAACTTATCCATGGAGATTTTTTTCATCTTGTATTTGAAACAGTCTAAAGAGATTTCAAAATATTGAATATTGTTGCAAAATTCGTTGAAGGTTTTAAGGATTCTATAAAGTGGTGAATTTTTATCCTTGTACAAGAATTTTGTATGCCTCAACGTTCAACCCTGATTATTGAACTCGATTTTGCAATAAAGCTCTGAACAGTAAACTAATCCCTTCATTCATTATTTTCTTCTACACCATATCACTTTCATTCACTAACTTATCACAAATCAACGATATTATTGAATGAGCTTCTCACTCTAACCAATATAGCAACACAGGAACAAAATTAAACTTTATTTTTTTTCTCTTTACCTTTTATTCTGAAAAAGATACACACTATCTATAGTGAGTAAAATCATTACAGATACTTAATGAAGGTTGAGTGGAAGAACAGTTTTTTTAGAGACCGTCTATACAAAAAGTGAACTCCGCTCTTCATTTTCAATTATATTGAATTATATTTAGATTAAAATAATATAATATTATCTAAAACGTGGAAATAATAAAGACTTTAATTATTATCATTATTGTATACTTGCTGGTAAAATCTTGATAATCAAGAACAGTTCAAGCAACAATGGTTATAACTAGCATTACCGTTAAATTTCATAAGTATGGTTTACCACTCACTAATGCTTTTTAAATCGAAGAGATAATATTGTCTTATCCTATTAGGTTTAAAAGTGTATTTTTTCAAATAACTAATAGCTGGCATAGTGTTTGTTAAGCAATAACATCGCATATATGGTAACCAAACCAGTTTTCAAGTGATGAACAAGATTTTCTACTAATTGTTTCTGTTCATTAGGATTAAAACGACCTCAAGTGTTCAAATAAAAACACTTGAAACGATATTGAACAGATTTCTACTGGAGTGCTTGATGTGTGGAATTCACACACCGAATCGGGCCAAATTTTAATGACATAATTTTTGAGATAAGTACTTTCTGTACTTTCAATGTGAATGGCTGAAATACGGCAAACTTAATTCCTTTTTCATAATTATAAACGTTAATTGCGATCTTTCTATGAAAAATTACCCCAATGACAACTGAATTCAACATATATTCACATTAAAGATTAACGAGGCTCCCCAAGGCGGTCAATTACGAAGCCAAGGTTCGACATCGACCAAAAAAGAACAGTTCATGAACGAAATTGATTCGATGAAACGTTATCTCGTTATTGGCCGAAGAAATCCATCGTTGACTTTAAAAACTTGTCCAAATCTTCAAATCGATACATACACATCAATCAGATTTGTTATGACACAGCTCTAATGCTGAAAAAAAACAAAAAAAACCATCAGGCCTTGAGAAAAATATAATCAATTTTGCTGATATACG